CAGTCTGTTTATTTTTTCACAGCTTCGCATGCAATTTACATAAACAGCTGCATAATCTGCTGTCATTTAGAGAAGTAGCTAGGTTGACACCACATGACTTCATAAGTATTGAATGAGATTAGCTGTAAATATACATAAATCCAGTGATGGGAAATGCATGTTTTGGTGTTACTATTAACATGCTAGAAATTCTTGAGGTCTGAACACTGTATATTGTGATAAGACAGCGCTGCTTTAATTTCCATTATAAATCAAGTGAGTATATAAATACATGCGATTTACAAGGCCACATCGTATACTCCATCTCCTAGGTAGATGTGTCAATGCTTATATTCATTCCATGGGGATTGATGTCGGTTTCATATGGATAGTACACACCTTTGGAATAAAATGCAGTCTATTACTTTACAGGTTTTGTATAGAGAAAACTCCTAAATCTACCTGTGCTAATCTTACACTGCACGATATATAGCCCAAACGTGTGTGTGTTTTATTAGGTTTTTTTTTCATAGGAGGTCATATGTCAAAGTTGAATGTTTTTACTACTGCATAGCTTGGAATGCCAGGTTTACATAAATGACTTTTGGCTATTTAAAATCAAGTTCATTCTCGAACAAATCAAAAGAACAAATTCGGCCTTTCACAGTTCACGTGCCACAGCCTATAATCAGGACTGGGTTCCCCTCAATCCCTGTTCTCTTCTTAAGTCAATATACACAGAGCACCCAGGTGAGCTATTTTCCGTAGGTGTATCACACACAGGTATTTATATACTTACCTGTAGGATAGAACATTCTGTAATTATGGAGGAAGGGCACCAGTCGTAAAAGATAGACCTCGTGTGTTTAGCTTGAATTACTCCACCAACCAAAGGAAATTACTCAACACTTTCTAACAACCGAGAGAGAAAGATTTTTTGGACAATATTCTATCATTACACAGGTAAGGGCTCAACAATGCTAGACTTGTATGTTATCAAGAAATAGTTTTACTAAGGAAAGGTTCATCCTGTGAAGGATATTAGTCTGGGAGGGGTCGGATAAGGAGGAATCATTGAAAGGGATGAGATAGAAAAGGGTCTTTTAGGTGGGTGTGTCATAGAGAGTAACGGGGTAAGGAAGGGGTTGATAGGAAGGGTCATACAAAACAGAATAATTTGAAAAATTCGCTTTGGATGGAAGTCGTATAAGGGAGGGGTCATACTTTGAAAGAAAAGTGTTGTACTTGAAAAGTTTGCTGTTTGAAGGGTTTGTATTTTAGGAAATCAAAATTGACAGGTTTTTTTTAGAGGAGTGTGAATGATGGAAAATTCATATAGAAAGTAGGAAGGTTATTTTTACAGGGAATTTTACTTAGAAATTCCCTTAAACATCACACCAACATCTTCATTATACTACATACCTCAATAAACATCTCACCAACTCGTCTATACATATCATTTTAGTGTCTTGGTCATAACTTTTCCTGCAGTTTTATTTAACTTCAATCTCCAACATTTTTTGACATTGATGGTCGTATTTATGATAATGTCTGTCATTTTAGATTTCTCTTTAGAGTTGTACAGTCGGTTGTAGTATTGTCATTTCTGTGCTATGTTGAAAGATAAAAGATGGTTTACGAGCAAACTTCCCTAGAGATGAATCCTGAAAACAAATTTACAGTTTTATCATGCCATGTAGATACATATTTATATATAAATGAAAATGTATGCATAATGGATTTTTACTCTTTTTTTTTTCAAGTTTAATTTCAATAGCTGTTGTGCCCGTTTATAATGTACACACTGTGGCACTTTACATTAAATAGGGTGTTACCTGATTTAGCCATACATATATACCTTACTTTTCATTCACATGACCACCAGATATGGTATACCTTAACTTGCACACACCCATAGCATGTAATTGAGGCCTTTATTTGTGTAATACAATATAACAAGCAACCCCCTGCTAGTCCCAAGATATTATAGCCACAAAGAGCCAGTCAACAACATTATTCTGGATTTGAAAGCTCTTTATACAACTATAGATTTGTCTGACTGATCTGTCAGTAGATCAGTAGTGACAATAAGGTGTTTAAAACCTAGTGTCTCCCATAAGTATGATATAAAAATCATATCTCATTATCATTAAGGTAATTTATGGTATATCTGAAATCTACAATGATATAACTATATCATAAGGGTCTGGAGCGCTGAGAAGGAATCCTGTCACCCTGAAATATTACTACTCGAACCCTGCTGCCATCCCTAAATAACACAACCTTTAAATCTTAAAATCCTACCACCTGAGGTTTTCCAGCCTTAAATTATACAATCCCAAAACTAACTCAAAGCCTGCCAAACCCTAAAGTGTACATTTCTTAAAGCCAGGTATTATAAGACCCGTATACTAACACTGAAATACTAAATATACAAATGTCTACCCATAACTGGTACCACTAGGACAATCAGGAAGTCATTTTGATGTCTAGGAAAGGGAAAGCTCTTGAACTTTGACTATTTTCATATCCAGCTTTTTTTTTTACTGGGTTTTACCAAAGTTTTTATCAAATTTTCTGCATAAAGTCAACTGAAAAATAGCCGATTGTCAATGTTTTGCCACTCTTACACTAAATTTGATTACAAAAGCCCAAGCACAGATGACAGGTTGCTGCATACCATGATGTTTTGTGACATCACTTCTTAAATGAAAACTAGGTCGCAGTTACTTTATAAAATAGTTTTGGTAACTGATAATGTCCATTAGAAATCTTCGTCAATTTCATAAACTAAGGAAACAAGAAAGATAGGTCTTTCTGATAATTCACAAAATTGCAATCCCCTAAAAAGAAACTTAATCAATTTGACAAAACAAAAATTAAAAATTAGGTCACTTCAACAGAAGATCTGTTTCATTTAGACAAAATCGGACAACATGACAAGTTGATAACCCTGGACCACAGAGTCTACATACATTGGTAGATTTATGAATGAAGCCAGTACTGTAATCAGTAGTTAGAGATTAATTAATAGATAATGTAACTAGCCTATTGTTAAAGATGAATTAGTTGTCATCATATTGTGATTTGACATGGTGTATTGGTTTACACATGTGTAGAGTTTTAAAGTCTTGGCCAGACTCATTGTAAAATCAGGATACGTGTGACACTGCAAGTCACTGATCAGAAACAGGATTAGTACATGGTTGTTTCTCGACCCTCCACCACCCACCCCCCACCGACATACAAGGTCAGTGAAAAAAATCACAAATGTACATGATGTATAAAAATATCCTGGCTAGGGTAACAGAGTTGGCTCACCTGTATGTCAGTATGGTTTAGACATGTATAAAACAAGTTTAGAACATTCCTGTGGTTACCTTAGTTTTGTTTTTCCGGAAACTAATTGATAAGAATTTTAAAATTGGTGTGATTGTATAGGTATTGAGCGATCAGTCACGCTTCACTGATTCGGCCGACCTCATACACTACAATCACGCCTATCTGACTGTGTCTCATTTCAATTTGTCTTCTGCTATACTGAGCTACAGTTTTTTTTTACTGAATGGGTAGTAAGTATGCCAATCTGTAAGTTGTGGATCAGCTTTTGTATGTCACCAATCGTATAAGCACTGAGGCATTACACATACTAGGAGCATAGTGTCAGGTGGTCGTGAAAACAACGAGTATTGTTATGTTGATGAAGTGCTTGGTACACAACCATATTTATTAAAACTACAGAATTCATTTCCTCCAGAAAGTGAGTATAAGATGATGCTGTAATTAATTAGTGTCATTTGTTCTTACCTGTATGTAGGAATTTCTCAATTAACGTTTTTTTTTTACTAGAGATCTTTCACTGTTCATCAACAACACCCACGATTTCAGTGTAAATTCAAGTGAACAAAGTATTTAGACATATATTTATTTACATGTGTGTGATTTATTATGATATCATTCATTAAGATATATCACGTCACCGAGACAGCTTCTGTCGGATGATTTATCACGGAATTTAAAGAAAAGGTCGCGACATATATACCTAACTATGATGTCAAAAATGTATGTACTTTCTTGGTCATCACCTATTGATATTAAATCGATCACACATATGATGATTTTATGTAAATTTGTCTGTTCTATATAGAGTGACATGTATCTCTCCGATAATGATTTATGATCATTATCGACCCAATGTCTCAGGTGTGATCCGCGATATCTACCTGGTGAAATTCCAATCACATCACGAGTTGCCATGATTTACTCCGGTATTTGTGACAAGAAAATTATTGCCAGAACTAATAAACCTAATTAAAACCTAGATCACAAAATGCACTCATGCGTTCAAATATTAACCGGTAATTACGATGCTTAATGGAACGTAATTGTGGTGTACGACGTAGAATTTATGGGAGTGTTAATTCCGGGAGGGTTGTACTAGTTGTTGTAAAAATGTTTATGTGTTATTTTTAAAGGATATTTTTAAATTAGAAGCTCTTTGTTTAATTTGAGTGATTGTATGAGAAAGATTTTAGTTTATTGTGCCCAGGTGGCTTTGTAAGACTTTAAGACAAATTGGTTCAAAATCCCAGATTTGTTAGCTCAATGTACACAAAGTGTTTGTACAGAAGTCTAAGGATCAGATGTGTAGTATGATCAACACTCTAAAAAGGAATATGAAGTTGTTTTTTTTTAACCTTCCCAAAACGTCTTTTATGATACAGACTGTAAACACAATGCCAATTAAAGCAGCTGACAGTCCAGATTTAGAAATCTGGTATAGACACAGAGCCTAACAGGACAAGGGTCAGTCTGGACAATTCACATTGTTGTCCTGAAATTTTCATACATGTGTCTTCTTAAAATATATTCAGAGTTATGTCCCTTGATTATGTCTTTGCAGGTGGTACACATTTTCAGCTTTCAATTTTTTTTTCAATACTTTAAAATTATAATATATTTGTTATATTGACAGTTGGTTTGTTGGTCAATATTTAATTATTTTGATTTTGACATTGCAGACATACACGCCCCGCAGCATGCCGTCCGCAAGCCCAAACACCACGAGTAGCCTGTCCACTAACCAAAGCGGCCAAAAAGAAATGTTGAGCTGCAGCAACTTATACCTCCGGCACCTAAGCCCAAACACAACGGACGAAGATCTTGTCGAACTTTGTCAAAGGTAAATATCCCTTTAACCACGCATATTTTGATCTGTCCTAGCATTTTTACCAGGTGAAATAAAAAAAAAAAAAAAAACAGCTGAGATTGAAATGTATGTGATATTTACACAGTTGAAAGCATCTCTAAGTATATAAGACTTTTAAGAAGTCTCACAAGGTTTTGATGACAATGAAGTATTGCTGAACGATGCGTTAACCTAATCGTTGCTATGGAAATCATAGGGATGAGTATGTCAATGGCATAGGATACACATCATGATAATGTGTTTTTCTGATGTAGGTGAAATCTTAGTATTAGCATGTCATCACAGAGTTTAGTTTGGTTTCCATTCTCGTGGCTTTTCAAAAAATAGTAATTTGTTGGTATTTAGTCCTAAATTCTTCGTCAATAAGTACAAATGTACTTCTGAGTGGGTTTCTGTGGCAGTAAGTATGGGTACCTATTAAGTCATTGACTAGTGGTCAAAATGACCAATCAGAGACAGCCCTTCCCCATTTGTGTAAGTGCAGGATGATCACAAATGTCTGTTTTATTAGAGGGACTGTCTGTTGTGAAGCTCCCAGCTCTGCTGTTAAAGTCTACACATTCGCTTCTTGTACAACTCCAGAGGAAATTTGAATTTCTCCAATGACTGTCATTACGAAAACATTACCAACAGTTGGTTATGTGAGTGGACGTAGCATGGGTGAAAAAATTGATTTTCTACGTCGGTGGTGTCTAAAATAACATCCACGGCTTGCTTGAACAACATTTAGCATTGTTTGGATTCTGTCTGTTGAAATATTTTAACCCACATGTTGTAACGATTTGTCTCCCAAGAACAGGAAAAACGGCATATCGTGTTTCATTTAGGGTACTATGGTGTCAAATCCTTACAATAAAGAGAGCACAAGGAAGAACAATAAAGGCTCCATTGCAAATTAAAGCTAGAGACATGTTCTTCTTTGAGGAACCTAAAAACCTGTGATCCTTGTAGACAGGGCTTTACTGGTTTAACACGAGAATCAGAGATAGATTTAAGTGGCAGATGTAATTGTTTTTACTCCAGATTCGTCAGTGATACCATTGGCATTTGATTGCTTTTGGAATGATAAACAGTCTGAAGTGATTAACGGGAAAACTAAACACAAAAAAAATTACCTTTCTGTTGACAATTATGATGCTAGATGGTGTGCTCCGGAGGCAGGGTGCTTGTATCGGAAAGGGCAATAAGCATATTTTGCGTTTAAGCAGCCATTGCTTTCTGAGGTTTCCATTAGTAAGAAAATGACGTTCACCTTTGAAAATTAGTTCCTGCCCTTTTATTCAGATATATTATTATTTCGGTGCACTTTAAAGAAAATTTGAGTAAAGTTATATTGGTAGTGCTTAAGTACTTTTGAAGCCTGTAGCTTTGCATTGTTAGGAAGTAGATGGATGTCATGTAAATTGATGGGGATGAGGTGAAGGGGTTTGTACAAAACATCTTCTACACAGGGTAATTCATTATTTACCTGTACACAAACAGGATATAGGATCTATTGTTCATCCTTTCGGGGCCTGATGACTGGACCTGACTCAGTAACGGTCCCAGAGAGGGAGACAATGGAAGAGGTTTGAGGGGTGTTTCCTGTCTTGATGGCAGTCATCCAATATGTAACACAAAATGATGAAGGTGTTTTATAATGACTGGTCTGGTGATGTTGGTGACTAAGCAGCACAACAGCAATTAAATGTCATGTTCATACACACATTACTCAATACTGTAACAGAACAGGTGTTACTGTAGTCACTTATGTAATACATCAAACATTCCTGTTATTAATTTAGGAATCCTATTAATTCACATGCATTAGTCTGTGGTAAATCTGATTAGGAGATTCTTAATTAAGAACTACATTTATTTAGAGACTATATTTCAAACTTCTGATTGGCACTTGATATCTTGTCAGGTAAACTTGTATCAAAGGACCAGGTGTATAAAGAGATCAACTGTCTTTATATGAGAAAGTATCGGACCATTTGTGCTAACTTAACCTGTTTTTAAAACGCCACCTCTGTAAAGTAAACCTCCTTTGTAAAGAGATTATTTGAAGCCACTTTCAAGTTAATTGAACCTGTATTATGAGACCACTTGTTTAAAAGAAATCTCCTTTATACAGAGGTTGTTTCAAGCTTCTTATTACTATTTCTTTCAGCTTAACAAAACCTCTATAACAAGACCACCTGTAGAAATAGCCTTATGTACTTTAAAAAAGTGGCCTCTTTATACAGTTTGTTTGAGCATTAATTCCAGTGTACCACTTTTTTTCATCAATAAGCCCATATTGGTAAATGAACCCATCATGGTCAGTAAATATTAACAAAGGCTATAGCACTGTCTTGTAATAAGCCCATCCTAGGCAGAGTTTCGATGTTGACTCCCTGTTCTAATTGCTGGAGCAGAGAAAATTTTGAAATATATTTAGTGGCTTACACTGTACTTAATATACTGAATGACACAGTGAAAGGTTTAATATATTAAAAAGAATTGCTAGGGTACAAGTTCTGAGATAAAGATATTTCAGAAACCAATTACAAATATTCATGGAAAAGTTCAACTTCAATCCTATCTGTGTCTGTTACCATTAGTGGTAAGGCCCTCAAGTCCGCAGACTCCCAGTAAGATGTTACTTCCTTTCAGGCGGTGTAATTATGTAAACCAAGGGCTGGGGTCACACAGGGTAGGAAGTACTAGAATAATATCTAAAATCTAGTTCCTGTAATGGGGAAAAAAAATTATTTGATATAAAATATGAAAAATAGCTTTATTACACCATATCATTTATCACCAAGAAAAAAATCAACTTGCTAATAGAATGGATTGAAATTATATACATTCAGAGAAAATGATTATAAAGATTGTTGATTTTATTTTTTAAATTTTTCTTTGGCTACTTTTTTCACAATGCATAGGTTTAGCCTTAATTTTGGTCATCGTTTGTTTTCACTACAAATATCGGTCACTCAGATGTCTGGCCACAATATTAATCTCTTGAATGTTTGGCTGCAATCTTCATCTCTTGGATGTTTGGCTGCAATCTTCATCCCTTGGCTGTTTGGCTATAATCTTCATCTCTTGGATGTTTGGCTGCCATCTTCATCTCTTGGATGTTTGGTTATAGTTTTTGTTAACTTTGATATATTGCTACCGTATCGATAGTTTCACACAGACTTCACCTGTATAGTCTTAATCATGGGTACCCAACAGAGATAAAAATACACATTTTATCAAGACTGATGAAGATAAGATAGCTATCAGGTCAGACTAAGTTTCATATCTGTTTGATATATCGGTTTCTTTACAGAGATGTAAATTGATGAGAAATTTTCCTGTGAGGATTCCGTTTCTGTATCTTAAAAATTGCTCCAGTTGTTTTATTCTGAACAAGTCTTTCACTGTAAATGATATTTATGTGATGAAAAGACATTAGATATGGAAAGTTATTTTCCAAAACTGGCAGTTCAGACATAACTTTCTAAAGAGACCACAAAATTCCCTTTAGGTGATATCATTCTGCGTATATTTTCTCAGTGAGGGGTTATTGTAAATTGTTCCCTGACCACTGTGGCTTCGGTTGTTGACCGTGGTCATAGCCGCAAGCCAGATTTTATAATCAGGAAAAATATTTGAATACCAGATAAGGCCACTCTCAGCTATGAAAACCACACTCACGTATGTAATCCTGATACAGAATGAAAGTAATAAAATGTTATTTTTCTGAATTGATGTATATTTCAGTTGATGTATGGCTATGTGTTTTATTGAACTCTGAAAAGTACATATACCTAATGGTATGTAGATTATGTCAAATTCCCACTTTGATCATATATTATCACTGAAGTACAGCCTATATCCCTGTGGAAACACTAGGGACTTGGATGCTTGAGTGGTCAGACTATTCAGTCAATGTGAAAATATGGCTGATTTGTGTCTCCTTTCTTGAACTGAAATTGCTGTATTTTCTGGCAGTTTCTGTCTTTCCCTTAATCTTTTATCCAATTTATCATTTTCAGAAGTTAGTTCAAAATTTAAATACCTAAAATGCCAGAAATCAGAAATACCCTTAGTGATACTTTGTAATATATACATGTATAATAGGCTTTAACAAGTCCTGAAGGTCAAGGTCAATGATTTTGAAAATATAAGATATAGGAAAATACATAGGAATGAATGACATTGTTTTAATTACATCATACTACGATAATGTTATAATATATATGTTCTGGGTCTTGGTGGCCCCTGGACCTGAAATGAGAAATATATCAATTTCTATAGAATTCTTCTCTATCTGTAGAAATGACAAGGCACTAAACAAATTTGGTTTATAGCATCAACAATTGGACACAGACCCCCTGGATGGGGGAGGCGAAGGGGTGGTGATTCAGTTGAGGTAGTAGATATAACAAATTAAGTGATTGATTAGCAATACTGGCCGATGGATGTTGCAAAAACCAAAGATACTGTAATATTGCAGAATCATTCTGATCTTTTAATCAGCAAAGCTGGTTTTGTAAACACTTTTTTTTTAAGTTCTGTATACTAATCTGTGTTGCTCTAGAGAAACTGTATTTTTTTTTCCAATAGAAAGCCATATGACTTAAATTCTATCACCCAGCAGATGAATTGCATTAATTTTCCGTCTGGTTTCCGTTTTTGTTAATTTCAGCTCTGAGATTGCTAATAAATGTCTCAATTTGAATCAATATATGTCAGAATTAAATGTCAAACTCTACTGCCAATATATCCAAACTGCCCTGTCTCTTGTTAATTCCATAGATCCCTTCCTGATTTGAGAAGCTAATGTAAATAAAGTTTGTTCTGTTGAGTATTATCAAATAATTTCACCAAAATTTACAACCAAGTCACACGTCAGGTAAAAGGGACGCTTTGTATGTTTTGTCACCAAATTCTTCACAATCTGTGTACAAACAGACTACTTTAATGTTCTGTGCAGACTTTTTAAGTCGAAGTGAGAA